GCAAATTGTAATCAATCATAAAAAACCTTAGTGAAGAAAGATATTTTCATTGACAAGTCCACATAATGATTCCATGTGAACTTCCCTGGAAAGAACAAAAGTTATTGCCAATCATCCTCTATGTCAGTGGAACAAAGGCAGGAGAAAGTGATAGATTCATTGTCCATGTTCTCACCCACCATTGCCTGTTCTTTCCGTCATATTGATTCTCACAATATTTTTGATGAAGTTATCACTTTGATCATGTAATTTGTAAAACATATATAATTATAAAACATTTCTGAAGGAAGAAAATAAAGAACAAAATAGACAGTCAGATAGTCACACTGACATCAATATTCTCGGAAGGGAAAGAACAAGAAATTGGTCTTCTCGGTAAATCAGCTAAGCTTCCCTTTTATTGGGGTCACAATGTCCAAGTGATATTGGAATATGTGTTGCTAGATTATAAATCCAATGCTGGATCAACGAATCTCTGTCTCTCATTTATCATTTATGCAGGTTCGTGAGAATTTGCAACAAAATGTATGAGATTGAAGTACCGTAAATGCCGGCGTACAAGGCGACCTGGCGTATAAGACGACCCCCGTCTTTATAGCCGGGCTGCATTCCTAGAACGTTGTCTTATACGCCGGTATAAGAAATACCAGTATTTCTGACGTATAAGACGACTCGGCGTATAAGACGACCCCCGTCTTTGGCGCCGATTTCAGCGCTCGCGGAAGTCGCCTTATACGCCGGCATTTACGGTATGTCTATAAATGTCTATAAATAAGGTGAATAAACAAAGAGCTAGAGAAATACAAAACAGGAACAGATATAAACTGAGCAAACAGCATTTAAAAAAGAATCTCTTACCAGATCAACTCAATGATTTCTGCCAGTATTACCTTAAATTTAAGTTAATCTTAACTTTTTAGCTATTTGTCTTGAATCCTTCAACCCAGTTTTAAGTTGCATGAAATCTATTATCTTAAGATAAAAGGCAAATCCTTAAAAAGCCAACACATCCCCATGTTTTCAAATGCTCTTTTAGAATTACTTTAGAACACACACTATTTATATATATAAAAAAACTTATTAGAGAAACAAAAGTTGGAAAAAATTCTTAATGCATAGAATGCATAGAAACAAGATACTACTAGGAAACCATTTATTACAGGCAGAGTATCATGCAGAATGTTTTTATTTATTAATTTTATACCACCATGGTTCTTGGCAGATGGCAAAACAGCAATACATTGATTAAACATCCATGGTAAATATACAAAATTAATTGACAGCCATAAAATCTGAATTGCATAAAAACTGTCACCATCATTACCAAACATTCTCTGAAGAATCCCAAAGATGCTTTTTTTCACAAGGCAATTGGACTTTTCTGTTTTTTCTTTAAAGACATTTCGCTTCTCATCCAAGAAGCTTTTTCAGCTCTGAAGAACATTTTACCAATTTTCAGAAAATCAACCCCAGATGAAGTTTGTTTCATATTGAAGGATCAGCTTCAGAGAAGTAGCATCTCTATCTCCTTCCTTCTTGACTTCACAAAATTGGGAGATACCAACAATGCTAAATAGACATATCTGCCACATGCAGTTTCTTGTAAATTATCAATGAAGCACAAAACGTTGAAGAACACAATGGCCTTTGAATGATGATTTGAACATGAAAAGATATTGCTGCTAGATTAGGAAAGGAACTATTTAATCTAACATGCTGCAACTTAGATCATGCGGAGACCAAACACATGCCTTCAGATGGCTTATCAAAAGGGGAGGAGGACAAAGAAAGGAGTGTTTTATTATATTTCACTACAGAGGGTATTCGTAGTATTGTTCCTACAGTTCAGAATGGAATATTTAACCATCATATATCACCAAATCATCAATTCATTTGTCTACTCACCATATAAAACTATATAAAACCTTATACAAATTGATGCCTATCACTATATCTAATGAAATAGGTGAAATAGACTGTCAGATTTCAAGTGTATTTATAATTTTGCAAATATTAGATTTTCAAGTTTCCTAAATTAACAGAAAAGAGGTGCCTTACAATGCTTTACCATATGGAATAAAAGCATTAGACTATTATATCTATGGTACAGGTTTTTTTTATTTAAATCCAGGACACTATAGTTTATCTTTCACAGAAATATACAAAAACATAGAAAGGCGACCAAAGAACTAATAAAATAGTCCATAAGTAGCAATTATTCAGCAGCCTTTTGGCAAGTCTAGTCTGCTCAATGCTTAACCTCCAACTTGATATGTGTAAATTGCTTTGCAGTAGTAATATATACATTCTTGATCAGAATAGGAAAAAAATAAAATGAATTTGCACCTGAACATTAAAGTTAGTGATTGAGATAGCTGGACTGATAGAACAGTTTTACTAAAACTGTTGTTCTCAGGAAGTTGATTTATGAACTGCAAATCTATCTTTGTGCACTAGTATCTCTAGATATTCTATAAAAAGAAGAAAGAAAGAATTTTATAATTTCTTTGCTATTGCCATGCTATGAATTCATGCACAACTAAAGTAAGTCATTAGTAACTTAGAAATGTATATCATTATTTATGATTTCTTTAAAAAGTAGTTTTAGCTTTATTTCTATTTATTATTCAACAAATTTTATGGCTGCCCAACTCACACAAGATGACCCTAACAGTGCATAATATTAAAAACATAAAAATCCTACCTCCCTCCCACCCCAAACTCAATGGCAGCAACAAGTTGATAAGTATATTGTAACATAAAAGTTCCCTTCTTCCTGTAAAAGATAAAAGTCTACTTCATGTTAATCTGTAATAAAGCTATGCAGAAAACAAAGCAGAATTATTTTTTTCCAAAAAGAGCAAAACTATTGATTTTGTAGGAAATTCTTAGACAAAAACACCTAGCTATTCTGATAAATAAATAGCCCTAAATATTTACTGCTTTTGTTTCTAAATATACAATATATAGAACACATATAGAACACTGGTCATGTATTCTATTTATTCATAATATTCCCTGTGTATTTAGGAAAGCAAATAATAATTTGCTTCTAACTTAATTTGCAGGTCTCTAGATTTACTTTAGCAGTTGTTTCTTTTTCAGGAGGCCATTACATCTGGGGAGATACTGTGCAATTAATTTTTTTAGATAATGTCATGTTTTAGGGATAGGAAGTTAACTATTTTCTGTTCTCTAGTACTTTAAAACTGATTGCAGCTTTTCTTCTGTTGCTATATTGTCTTCTCATTTGAAATTTTCATTAAATTCTTATTTCAATCTTCTGTCATAGTGAAAATTGTACATGTCAAAGAAACATAGATCAGTGGTAGAAATATGCCATTCAGTTAGTGAGTCTCAGATTTCATTCTTAGCATGGGGATTAAAATATACAATGGAAAACAATATTTGTAGCTCCAGGTTGAGCTGTAGAGTCCTTGGTACTCTCTAAGTGTAGTTGTTTTCTTGCAGATATTTCATTATCAAACTAGGTAGAATTTTCAGTGCTAGAAAGAGTGGCATTTGCTCTCCATTTATATACAGTGGCTTGCCCTGTCAGTGTTGTTGGGAATGTTGTTTTCTTCTTGATAGAATCTTGAATAGGCTGTTGTTTACTATTTAATTGTTTGAGTTGATAGTTCCTTGATTGGGGTATTATTTTCCTGCTTGATTGTTAGACTAGTATTAATCCTGATATTACTCTTTTCTTATCTGAATGTCGACTTTCTGGTGAAGAGGTTTTTGAGGTTTTTGTTGTTGTGTTCTTAATGAAGCATCTACAGGAAAACAGCAAAGCTTAGAAAGCATCATGACCTACAAATATATAGCCAGTGAAAAAAAAATCAATATAAGGATTTTCTCTTCATTTTCTGCTCTTGAGCTGTGATTTTTATCCAACTTGCAGTATTAGCAAGCCCACTCTAGGACCAGTCAGACCAATAAAAGAGTACTTATCTAGAAGTAATTTGGACCTTATTTTGTGCAGATCCAGATAAATCAAGATATATATCCAATATAGATAGATAGATAGATAGATAGATAGATAGATAGATAGATAGATAGATAGATATTTAGTAAAGACAGCATGCAGTTCAAGGACATCTGGAGACAGATTGAAAGGTAATCCATGTTGTGCTATTGATGAAAAGATAGTTGTTGTTGCCACCACCACTTTACTCAGTTTAAAATCAAAGAAGGGAATAGAAAGTCCACTAGGAAAACTGATGGGGATGGTATATACATCATGTAAATGGGGGAGGGAGAGGAGACACAATAGAAATGACCCTGCAAAGCTGCTATCATCATTTTACTACATGAGGAAATTCAGAGATAGCGTGCTTATGCTTATGACAATAAGGTCCAAAGGAAGGAGATGACTTCGATGATTCTAATCACAATAGAGAGGATTGGTGGTTTAATGAAAAAGTTCTTCAGAAACAGGGACATAAATGAGAATTTCACTTAAAGGAAGACTACTGTTTTCTTCCATTATTTATACCATGATTTCAACCTTTTTGTTATTGTTATTGCTCCTGGGAAACACACACACACACACACACACACACACACGAGAGAGAGAGAGAGAGAGAGAGAGAGAGAGAGAGAGAGAGAGAGAGAGAGAGAGAGAACTGAAGGCTGAGTAATATGACTCAAGCAGTTCCACTTCCATCCATCTTGGGAAGCTAATCTTTCATTCCCCAAGAAGAGCAAGAGGAGGTTTCAGAGAGAGTGGAGCTATTACAGAAGAGCATATACTGCACTGGATAAGCTAATAAAGCAGGATCTGCTTTGTGCATGCTTGTGTGTACGTGAAAAAAGATAAAAACAAAACTGTACGCATAATTTGTCAGACCATGCATTGTCAGGAATGAATCTTGGGCTTCCAAGTTAAGCCTATGTCCTCCAGACGACCATTCTTTCTTTCTTTCTTTCTTTCTTTCTTTCTTTCTTTCTTTCTTTCTTTCTTTCTTTCTTTCTTTCTTTCTTTCTTTCTTTCTTTCTTTCTCAGTTCCCCATGATAACTGCATCATACTGTGTTGCTGGTGACTGAGGTGCTGCTTCACCTTCTGCAATGTTGCTTGATCTTTGATTTCCTGTGAAGCACAATGAATCTTACATTAGACTGTTCAAAGTCAGGTGGTGCACCATCTGTTCCCAGGCTTGGAAAACACTGAGTAACATAGATCAACAGAAAGCAACAGCTTCACTGGATTCATCAGAATATTCATATTCACACAGTGACAAGGAGGCAGATGACTTCATTTTCCAGCCTTTAAAGGGGGTGGGGGGAGCTGCCTTTTCTTTTACAGCTTTTCTCCTAAAACTGTCCTGATGTTGTTACTATGTGTTTTGATTCTCTCTCTCTCTCAAAATTAAAATGCATTGGATATTTGATGAATACGAATAGTGTGATGAAATGTGTTAATGAATCTGGTAATATTTGGGTTACAGGATGCTATAGGGACCATTCAACTTATGGTGCAAAGAATGTTTCATATGAGTTGTATGTGTGAGCTGCCAGTGCAGAAATTGCTGACAAGGAAGAACACAGAAGATGTAATAAACTGAACTATAGGCAATAACAAATTAGTTGTTCCTTTTTTTCTTGGTTTAAGCTTTTCCTTTTGCAGAGTTTCTCAGGGAGCCAGCCCTACCATTATATAGAATTGTTGCTTCAGCATCAGATTTTGCATATGATAAAAACAAAGCAATAACCATATTGATTATTTATGATAAAATATATTTAAAAAACCAGTTCACACTTGAAATACCTCAAGCTTGAAATGATGGACTTGAATGTTTGGGCTCCAAACATGGGCATTTTCAGATTTTATTCCCAAACCTAGGATGTTTTATTAGACGTTCAGAATAAAAATTTTCAATCTGCTTTGTTTCAAGGATTCTGGACTATTCTGGAGCGCAGTATAGATATGCAGTTTTGAGATTTGCTACTAGAGCATTGTCTGGGTCAATAAAGCAGCAGGGGATGGTCAAGTCCTTATTTAGTTTTGCTTAAACTTAGGATCTTGGGATTGGTTCTTGTAGATAAAGTGAAAGTGATTATAATGTGCACAGTTGTATTTCAATTGTATTTTGGGATGGGGGGAAGGTACATTTGCCATATAAATGAAAAGCTTGGGTTTCAATATCTTTTTTTGGGCAAGAATTTTGACCAGCAGTTTATTGAACTCATAACTTCATAACATTTCTCTGTACTCTTGTCTGCTTATTGCTCATCAATATAAGCCACCCCACATAATATTTTTCACTCTAATTACATTCATTCAAAATGCTATTTTGAATAAATGTAATCAGTTCTATTAATTATTCCCAAATTTATATCTGATTCTTCTGTTATGACCTTTCACTGGAGTGTAACCAGCAAATACCATCAACCAATGAATTCCTAGAGTCATATACACCATAATAATTTAGATGATTAAAAATGCATACTTTCTGACTTTACATTTTAGCTCTTTATTCATAATTAAGCCTGTAACTTACTACTTTACATGCATGCATCAATTCTGCTTTCCAAATGATTTTATTTCTGATCTATTACCTTTCTCATTTCTTAGTTCCATAGTCACCTAATTTTTTTCTTTAATTTCATTTGATAATTCATTCCAAATTTATATGACAAATACCTCATATGACAAGTTGCTATTTTTCATATGATATATTTGTTATATGATTAATACATAGATATTGACTGCCGTTCATGGCCATTGGTAGTTAAGGCTTTCACATAATGCTCTGTAGTAATATAAAGTAGATGCAGACAAAGTTCACTCATACCTATGCCCTATTAGCATAGCTTGCTAAGAAGTAAGGACAATTCCTACCTTCCTAATTTCCCATAAAGCTTTAACTCAATGACATGATGCATGTTTGTAGCCAGTTTAACTAATGCATTTATTTTCCTCTATTTCTCAGTCCAGCTATCATAGTGACATCCTTATATTAGAGCAGGCATGTCAAACTCGCGACGTCACATGACGTCGCGCAACATATCGGAACTTTTTCACCATTGCCGGCAATGGGGTAGGCACGGCTCTGGTATGATGAAACCGGCCCGCGGGCAGCAGTTTGACACCCCTGTATTAGAGAAATCATCTTTTTGCTAAAATAATAGTGTACTATAATTTCACCATTACAGCTTGTAAGAAAGATTTTTTTTTACTGCACTAGAGGTGAAGAAATATAAAGTTTTCCCCATAACATGCTGAGTTACTGTCATTTTTTTCAAATAACTAGACAAATGCATACAATATTGGCAGGCACGTAGTGGCAATTTTTCCACTGACTGAGGTGAGAGGAATTTTGTTCTAGTAGGGTCTCTATTAGTTCAGGATTCTGACTAGATTAGTTTTTTCTGGCTCTCTGGTTGGTCAGCTGAAGTTGATAATTAATAGGCTCATGGCTTTTGGCATGTTCTCAAAAATTTGAGTTGATAGAAGTGAAAATGGTTACCTGCTGCTTTAGATGGTTATGGAAGGATTGAAAAGTAAAAACAGATTGGTGTGGGAATAAACTAAGTTACTTAGTTTTTGTTTTGTATTCTTCAAAACTATCCCTTCCTTCCTTCCTTCCTTCCTTCCTTCCTTCCTTCCTTCCTTCCTTCCTTCCTTCCTTCCTTCCTTCTTTCCTTCCTTCCCTTACATTTGGATCTCTTTCTTTTTATCTGCCCTGAAGTTTCTAAGACTGATGTAGGATCAAGCTGTACTTGATATGTCTATAGCCTAGAAAGTTATTTTTAGCAAAATTATGTGCAGAGATTGAAAGAGCACACATTACCTTGCTACAGAATGAAATGGACACCCAAATAGACCAAGGATCACAGAAATAAAAGAGAGTTTACACTGATGGCAATTATTTAAGAATAAAGACTATTTTGCTCTAGAAAATGCTGATACATACCTGAAGCCAAGTTGGCATTGCCCTCTTCATTTCTTATTTCTTGGGACTGTGGATTTTGGATCTCTAAATTCCTGCATGATGATAAAATGCCATATATTTTAAACATTAAAGTAACTCTTTGAACCCTTTGAAAAATAAGAAATTAAATGCCCAACAATATTCAGTCTCCTGTTCATCAAGTGTAGTTAAAAATCACCCTATTTGCACTTTGGTCTCTGAAAAACAGTCCTAGACCAATCACGAAGATTATATTGCATGTGGCCATGTGTATTAGGCTGACAATCAAATATTCCAAATAAGCTACAAACAATTTCCTTCTGGGCTGTTTGTATGCTTCTTTGAGATAGACAAATGTTGCCAAAACTGGCAGTCTCTCCTTGGCACCTTCCAGTGTAGTAACAGCAAAAATGTTACAATTCACAAAACAAACTCTGCACATCTCAAACTGATATTGTATAACTCAGCACATTCCCAACAGCATGTGGAACTGAGAGGTGTTGTATATTGTGTGGTAGATGTCTAGATACGCTGTCTCTTTTCCTTGTTCCTCTCCTTCTTTCAAGAGATTTGACATATCTTGCAACTTGCTTTGAAGATTTTTTTTATTTGACTTTCTATGGCAATTTAGCTTAAGTAAAACAAAAAGCACATACTTGTTGAGAATAAGGATGCTTCAACCATGGTTCTAAAAGAAACTCAAGGCTCCATAAAGGCAGTCTCACATCTAAGATGCAATGTCCAGATCCTCTCCAAGAATTGTTACCAAAATGTAATTTTAAGAGTGAAATCATTAAATCAATTAAGTTTAACTTGAAGTAGTTTAAATATAAAGTTCAGTTAAGACAAAGTTATTTATTTTTCCCATCCTTACTTGTGTCTTTGTCTTGGTCATACCTATTCCTGACATATTATTTAAAAGTAGTGTATAGACCATAGTCTTCTTTCAAAGTTATTCATCCCTGGCTATTTTCTTCATGGATTGTTGTTTTTTTAAACAGTCTGTCCTGAGTCAGAAAGTGAAAGAAGATGTGCAGACATTCCTCATAATCTAGACTGGCAGGCAACAGAGCTGAATCAACTTAAAAGAGTAGCCAATTTTCTTCAATAAAATTGCATACAGATAAAAAGACAAACTTCTGTAAAAGAGACAAATACTATATTGCAGCATTAGTTGGTATGTTTCTATGGCATTTGTTGCTACTATATATCTTAGATAAACATTAATAAGAAAGATGCAGACAAGAGCACCACACGATTTATTAAGTAAACCTTGATGCAAAAAAGGCAGAAAAATCCTGCCAGTTTAGTCCTCAAGTCTCTACTAATCTATTCAAACTCTTGTGGTTTTAATGCTTACTGGTACAGCTCATCATGCAACTTCTAGTTTAATTAGAGGAATGGATTCTGGAGAGAGCTTCTGAAAACTCTCCAGTGGATTCACTGGAGAGAAAACTCTGTGCTCACTCCACTGACTAATTATCTGCCTTTTCTCTGAAACAGGTGTTTGATAGTAGGAGTTATATTCTTGGAGGAAGACAAAAGATGAAGACCTCTGATAAAATATAACACAAAGTGAATGGATGTAGTAGGAAAACATTTTTACTTTGGCTACACTGATCTGTGAACCAGAAGGATAAATAAAAAGAATTGCATAAAAATTATGCTGGCTGGTCTCTAAAATCATACTATGAATTCTGCTTAACAAACAGGAGATCTTGTGTTCAGAAACAACTGGATCTATATTTTGGCTTATGTTTCAGCAAATGAGTTAAGCATTGGTTGAACTCTTAATGGGGTTCCGAATCATTCAGAAACTAATTGTTGCATATGGTACAATATAAAATCATTTTTAAAAAATCTGCTTTGAACAATAAATATTGCTCACTTTAAGGCTTGATGAAAGAAAAAAATTGTATACAATGAGCAACATTTCAAAGGTTTAAAATATAATTGCAAAAAATAAAATATGTGAAATAGTGAAGAATGGTACATCAAACACTGGGGTCACACATTCTCCTAAGTCATAACAAGCTGATGTGGTTTTGATTTAGTGTGTTAAGATTTATAAATAAATATGGTATCTAGATTAATGTTTTTTATAAACTATGCCACCAAAGATAATTCAGCAAATTATTAAGGAAAACCACCTGGCATGATATACACTACAAATCTTACCTTTTGATTCCTTTGTTATCTGGCCAATTCATGACTTGTCAGTTTGGGCTATACAATCTAAATAGAGTTGATTTCAGACTTCTTGTTTATGACATTCAGATAGAATGTAACCTGGGAAACAAGTCAAAAACAATGAACTAAGCTTTTCTCACTCGGGTTATTGTTTATTACAGATTAAGTGGACTGTGGCAAATGTTAGGAACCAAAAATAGATGAAAAGAGGATATAGCATCCTTGTTCATGGGGAAAAAAACGTGAAGACATTGAAAAGAAGTACAACTTAGCCACATTTATGCAGTATCTATAGACATTCCAAAGACAGGTAGGTATCATTCTTTTCAATATTCATTTAATTAGAGAAAAAGTAATTCTCTCAACAATACACACTTTCTTGTGTATTTATTTATTTAACAATATTAATTGACTGCCTGAATCATTGAGAATTTGTGTGATCTATAAATATGCATACAGGCAAGCCTGCTGTCTATTTGGCATTAAAAAGAAAGATGTGAATCTGAATGAGATGAGAAGATGAACATCTGATTTGATAGCCAAAATGACATATGCTTGATGATGCAATAATGCAAATGTTAGGACATCTGACTCAAGATGCAGCTTTTGCAGGATTACATAATCATTCCCCCCTTCTCTTTTACACACACACACACACACAGAGAGAGAGAGAGAGAGAGAGAGAGAGAGAGAGAGAGAGAGAGAGAGAGAGAGAGAGAGATCATGGCCCTTTATCTCCCTGCAACCCCAATATATGATAGTGGTGTAAAGAATCCCATTTTGATAATGGCTGCAACAAAATTTCCTAGTTTTTTTTAAAATACCTATTTTGGTTAGCACTTTTTTGTAAAGTTTTATGCCAGTTCCACAAAAACTCACTAGTATATAGATACAGTTTATTATCTGTCTGTCTGTCTGTGTCGGTCTATCTCTATTACTTCAATCATGATAGATTCTTTTGGGTTAAATGATGTTACACATAATACATGGAGTATAAGACATAGTAAGGCAAGGAAATTAAAAAAACATGAGTCATTAAAAAGAAACATAGCTGAATCTAATTAATACAAATACCATTCACTATACTACTACATCAAATTATCTTTACTTTCACAACATCTATGTATGATTTTATATTACTCTTTAGTTGTTGTTTTTTAATTCTTTCATTTTGGGAATTTAATCAAATCTACTGATCTTCCTTTCCAAGAATCTAATCTATTTAACTACAAATTTCTCAATATTTCCTTGAACCATTCACTCTTCTTTCATATCACTATTTTATAACTCTGTTACCATTCTTTTTGTTCATAATACAAACTACCTAAATTTACCTATTTTGTCACTCACTTTTGAATTCCATTTACATAAATTCACCTTCCATAATTCTTGACCTATTTCTTGTTTTACCACATACAGTTTTACAGTGCTCTATTCCCATAGATTCAACTTCTGTGTTCTCTTCACAACTCTCACCTCCATAGGACATCATGAACAGAAGCATGCCCTTATTAACAGCAATTTTTGCATGTTTTGCCATCCATTCCCCAAGACAGTGTACTGCTTTTCTTCTACATCTCCATCACAACTTAAAATGATTATTTCCCCTATTTTTACTAAACATTCTATAAGGCTATACAAATTTACTTACTTGCTCTCAGATTTTGGCATATAACTTAAGTTGCATTTTGTTATTCCATTTTCCCTGTCAAATGCAGCTATTTACTTTTCAGATCCATTTTTCTTCTTGCACTATACAATATAAAGGAACTAATGTTTGCTGAAATTCTTTTGTTTTCAGCTAAGAACATGGCATCAACAGTAACAAAAGCTTTATTCATGTCCACAATGAACACATATGTACTATCACTATGAATATTGCTAATATATTCAATGGATAGCATATATTGTTCTGTTACCCTCTTCCAAAATTGAATTACTTGTAAAGCATTCCATTTGTATATCTTAAAGAACTTTTCTTCTTGCCTACAGAAACACTATTTCCCCCAAAATGTATATCTGATATTTTTCATTGCCATCATTCATTGCAATTAAGATACTACCTTTGTATAATTTTAAACCATCTTTTTATTTCCTTCAAAAGCCCTCTTATTTTCATTTCTGGGGGAGTTATGGACAATGACTCTATGAAAGCAGGGGCAATGACTCCGGCAAAGATCGATGGAAATGGTGAGAAGGCCAGTTCCTTGGAACATCTCTGGATGAGGAATGGACAAGAAATCACCAACATGTGATTGTAATGAGACCATAGGATAACAATATTTTTTTCTTTTGGTGGGTTTAGAAGATACCAAGATTAGCTATCTTGTTCACAACCATGGTGGAGATTTTTAAAGGACACTAAGGTAGCAAACCTTACTTTCTAATACTATTGGAAATTGCTTATTAACTGCTTCTAAACTATTACAGAGCTTTGGAATGACTAGTATGAAAATACCAGGTGAGTCTGCTTTTAATCCTAAATGAAAGAAAACTTTAATTATAAGCTGAAGAATTTAAAGAATCTGGAAATAAAACAATAAAAAGCTATTAAAGATTAAGGATCCAAATAAAATTGGAATAATGAAACTTTTACAATAAGATTTTGGAACTAATTTTAAAGTAGAAACAGCTTCTCTTAGGAAATATATCCTGTTTTGGTTTTTATAAAACACAACATAAATAATTTCATAATTTCAAAGTGGACACTATAGAGGACTAAAGATTTTAGGTAGATGAAAGATACACAGGCCTGCACGTAGGCCACAATATCAACAATGTCAGTAATAATATCTGCTTCTATGGATAGACAATATCTAAAAGATGTTATTGAAGAAATGTCAGATGTAAAACAAATTTTATATATCAAGACATAGATAGTATTGAACGTGAATTTACAATTGACAAGCCAAGAAAATGACTTTGAAAAGGAAGTTTCTCTGAATCTATAACAAAATTAGTTAAGGTTTTAAAATTTATAAAGGAAATACAAGAGAATCACCTGGATCATTTTTTCCTAATGGAAAAATAATCCTACTGAATATACAAAAGAAGCTTATTAAACCCTTGAAGAACTCTGTGGAACAGGACAAAAAAGAAATGAAAAGAAATCAAATTCTATAAACATATTTGAATAAGCCAAAGATTAAGTATGTTAGTAGTATAAGAGAAGACTATAATGTTTGCATAGGTATATACATATCATAGGTAGGTAGGTAGGTAGGTAGGTAGGTAGGTAGGTAGGTAGGTAGGTAGGTAGATAGATAGATAGATAGATAGATAGATAGATAGATAGATAGATAGATAGATAGATAGATAGATGATAGTAGTCAGACTGACTGATTGACTGGCTACCCTTTTTGGACTTTTTGCTGACATGAAGACTGAAAAAATGATTTGCTGGACTTTTTTCAGAAATAAGATATGAATTGAAGACATAAATACTGTAATTTTAAAGTGTGAAGAAATGAAATTTGTTTGTTCTTGTGAGGAAAACTGAAAATAACTTATTCATATAAATTTTCTTTCTTTTCTTTTTCTTTTTTCTTTTCTTTGTAATTTTCTTTTTTTCTCCTTAAGTTTAGTTTGCACTAGATTTTATGGTTATAATAAAAATTATAGATAAAAAAGAAAATCTCTCTGCATTATCTGCTTTGGTTTTAATCATTAGTTAACATTGTACATCATCCACATATAAAAGCATTCTTTTAGATGCAATTTTTTCATCCATAGTCTCTTTTACTTCATCATTCTGCCAAACACCTTTTTCTTATTTCCAGTTAGAACAGTAGCTCTACTTGCTTCTTTTGTACTCAACAATATTTTTATATTGCGTCTACAGTGACATAAAGATAAAAGTAAAGGTTACTCCTGTTCAATTGTGTCCAACTCTAGGGGGTGATGCTCATCTCTGTTTCTTAGCTAAGGAAGCCAGTGGCATCTGAAGACATTTCCATAGTCATGTGGCCACCATGACTATAAACTGAGATGTCCCCATGTAATGATATAGATGATAGCAATTCATAGTTTCTGACACATATTTAAGCCCTTTCAATTATACTCACAGGTAGTCCTTGATTAATAATGGCAAGAGGGATGAGATTTTCCATTACCAAATAATATGTTAAAAAGTATGTCATCATGTAATCATACCACTGAATGATGGAAATTCTGGAAATTCTGGCTGCTATCATTAAGTGAGAATTACATGAGTTGTTAGTTGAGGATGTAATATGAC